CAAAGAAAAAAAAAAAGAAAAAAAAAAAAGAAAAAAAAAAAAAAAAAGACAAAATGCACTTCGCCCCTGTATAAATTTCTCATTTTCGCAATGTCCCCCATAAATATTAAAAAAAAAGGAATATTCCTCCTTCAAAATGTTATTTTGGTTGCACTTTGCCCCATAACCCAATTTTTGGAGGGCATTGTGCAACAAAAATAATATTTTGAAGGGGGGAACGTGCAAAAAAAATAGTGTTTTAAAGAAGCAGCGTGCAATAAAAATAACATTTAAAGGGGCAACGTGCAATAAAAAATACCCAATTCCGACGAATAATCCACTGGAGTTTTGGTATCGGGACAATATGCAACAAGAATAACATTTTGAAGAGAGGCATTAACTTTTAAAAAAATTGAGGGAGTAAAATGCGAAAATTAAAAATTTACAGGAGGTGATGTGCAATTTTCCCTATTGATGCAAAACATCCTCTATGATTCAATTTTTCCAATCAAATTATCCCCTAAATAGTGAGTTAGGGGAAGAATATTGCTGAAAAAAATGAATCATAGGGGTTTTTTGCTAATAAAATAACAGGGAAAGTATTTTAGTGATCAGAGAAAACACAGGGGTGGTAAATGCAATAAACCCTCGTTTCACGGGTTTATTGCCAGAAAAAATGCATTCTAGGGCGAGTTTTGCTAATATTAATAACACAAGGGTAATAAATGCAAATATAGAATCTTCTTACCAGCGTTAGAGCTTTGACAGAAACGAGGTCAATGGAGACACCAGGAGTATATCCCTTGTAAATACTCAGCAAATTATCCACAAAATTATGTTTATTACCCGAACTACCCTCGGTGGGCCCCACCATGTTCAAATGTTCTTCGATGATGTCATCGAAAACCTCATCCCGTAGCTTAACAGCTCTATCTATGGCAGCATTATAGCCGTTCAAAGAATTAATCCAACCAAGCCACGGAATCAATTCCCCCACCGTGAAGCTGTACAGCAGCCCGACGATTTCGACCATCGTCGTCAAGAACTTCTCCCCACGCGCCGTCTCGCGGCTCAGGTGCTTCTTCCCGAAAGCCGCGCGTGAGATTAAATCGTTCGAGAACGACAGAAACATATCAGACAAGTTCAAAGGTGGCGGCGTGGCCGACAAGGAATTGTTGTTACTACAGCAGTAGTCTCGAGTAATCCTTTCGACGACGAGGCCGATTTCTTGTTCCCTAATGGAGTTATAGGATTTCACGCTCGCGGTATTGAGTAGCTCGCGGGTGGCGATGCTTCTCAGCTTCCGCCATTCGTCACCGTAGGGTAAGTTTATCAGGTCCTTCAAGTCGTAGAATATTTTCTTGAGAAAGCCGAGGACCGGCTTGTCTGCGAACGAGAGGTCGTGCGTTTTAAGGACGTGTTTGGCTACGTCGGCCGCGGAAACTACTAGGGTTGGTTTCGAGCCCAAGTGGAGGAGCATGAGTGGGCCGTGTTTCTTGGATAACTGGTGGAGGGAACGGTGGTGGAGAGTCCCTAGCTGGTGGAGGTTTCCGATGATCGGGAAGGCTGGCG